GTCTTCAGCTTGTGTATAAAATCTCTCTTCACCTCGTCTATAAAACTCCATACAGCTCGTATATAAACTGTCCCTCAATGCTTCAACTCGTCTTTTAACATACCCTTAAAATCGTATTTGAAATCTTCCTCCAAATCGTCAACTAAAACTAATTTTTTAGGCCGACAATAGCAATCCCTTTAATTCGTCCGTAAAGATTCCTACGATTCTGAAAGATTAATTTCAGCTTGTCTATAACGCCCACATTGGGTCTTTTTTAAGAGACTATCTTCAGGACATCAATAGAACACCCCTTCAGGGTAGTCTATATACTCGTTTCGGTTCTTAAGTAGTTCCAGCTTCAGATCGTCGATAAAGTCAATTTCGATTGTCAATACTTCCTTCAGTTCGTCTTTAAATACTCTCTTCTACTCTTCATAAATACACCTTTCTGCAAATAAACCCTTCAGCTCGACTATAAAGACTGTCTTCGGCTTGTCTATAAGGTCTCCCTTCTCCTCGTCTATAAAGACTCCATACAGCTCTTATATAAAAAGTTCCTCAGTATAATAAAAATCTCCCTTCAGATTGTCTATAGAGCCATCCTTCAACTCGTCTTTAAATACACCATTAACATCGCATTAAAAGTTTTCCACCAAATCGTCTACAAACACTCTTTTTAAGCCTGTCAATTAGGACTCCCTTCAATTCGTCTGTAAAGTCTCCTACGATTCTGAAAGATTAATTTCAGATTATCTTTAACGACCGACATTGCGTAATTTTTAAGAGAGAGTATCTTCAGGTCATCAATAGAACTTAATTTCAGGGTAGTCTCTATATTCGTTTCAGCTCATGAATAGTCCCAGCTTCAGCTCGTCGATAAATTCTCAATTAGTAATTTTCAATATAACTTTTTTTGGATAACGACACGAAAGCTCTATTCAGTTCATACATAGACTCGCTTCTGCTCTTCGAAAAAATATTCTCTTCTGCTCAAATATTCCCTTAAGTTCGGCCTCCAGTTACTCCATAGTCTTCATGCTTCAGGTCATGACTGTAAGGACTCCCAACTTCCTTAATTTAGTTTACTCCCAGTTTTGGGAATATCGAATCAATTTTGCCCATGTAAAACTAATTCCTTCAGCTGATCTTTGAAGGCGGCTCCCATAAATATTATATTCAGGTCTATTATGAACAGATCATTCTGTTATTCCATAAATCTAGTTTGACCCTCTATTGTGGCATTTATAGTTTCTTTTATCAAGACACCATTCATCTCTATGAAGATATCTATAAAGACACATTTAAACGTCTTTTTATAGGGTCTCCCAACAGCTAGTATTTAAAGATACTTCTATAGAGACTCCCCCTAGCAATAACGAATTCCATCAGCACGTCTAAAAGCAATCGCTTCAGCTTATTTATAATGACCCTCTATTGGGGCACTTATAGATTCTTTTATCGAGTCAACATTCAGCTCTATGAAGGTCTGTAAAGACACACTTAAACCGCATTTATATAGGATCTGACAACAGTTAGTCTTTAGACACTCCCTCCATCAATAAAGAATTCCATCAGCTTCTTCATTTACTAATTTATTTAGCTGGCTTGTGACAGAGCGGTTGTTCCATAAGCTGAGCTTAAAAAAGATTTCCAAGTGCGCGCGAGAAGCGATGCTATGATATGCCGCTAGACGACGCTATAAACCTCTGCGTGTGTTTTCTTATGGCATAGCGCAAAAGCTGTCAGAGTGGATGCTACTCTACAAGCGAGACAAAGCGAGTGCAAGCGATAAAGCGTGTTGTGCAATGGTTTATAGCAAGAGCTCTCTTTGGCTCTGTTTGAGTTTCTTTGTTTATTATTTTTATTTACCGTTATTGATCGGTTTTTGGCATCGTTCTTTTGCATCTTATCGAATTTTAATGGCGTGGAAATTTAAATTTTTGTGGACTCAAGTCCAAATTTAATTAAATAATAATAAAATAATTTGGAAAAAATAAGGGAAATCGAAATATTTGTTCATTTCATGAATTTTCTTTAAAAAATTACTTTGAAAATATTTTGTGATATGAGAAATTCTTCGTCGGAATCCTTCTTGAGTCAATAAACACCAGTTTACAACAGAAATAGGCGATATAAACCAACAACACGCTTTGCTCTCTATAGCACTCACTCTGACATACTATAGCATTGAAGTATCATGAACTATTATAGCATGTAGTATCGCATCGCTTCTCGCTTGCACTCTGACGTCAGCCTTAGCCAACGTAGTCGCTGCTGTAGCTCGATAAGTCTGACTATGTCGATGTCTGAGAATAGATGGTATATCTCATGATCCATTCGACGATATTCACCGTCAATGCAGTTCGACCCATATATCTTCCGGAGAATTTTTCTCTCAAACACTCCAAGAGCTGGTTAATCTGCTTGCGCAAGTAGCCATGCTTCAGACCCATATAACAGCACGGGTAGTATAAGCGTCTTGTAAAGTGTGAGTTTGGTATGGCGAGAGGTGACCTTGCTTACTCAGACTATAGTAGCATCTGTTGGCCAATACTATTCTCCTCCGTATTTCAAAGCTGATGTTATTAGTTTTGTTTATGGCAGTACCGAGGTATATAAAATCTTTAATTGCCTTCAAGTTGTAGTTTTCATGTTCCACAGTTGGTCCGAGTATACCGGATGTCTTGTGCGTTGATACCATCAGCTTGGTCTTCTCGACATTTACTGCCAGTCCCACTTTGGCAGACTCTTTCTCAAATCGTTTAAAGGTGTCGGTTACGGCTCGCAATGTTCGACTCATTATGTCGATATCGTCGGCATAGGCGAGTAACAACCTCGAAGCTGTAGTTTTCACGTTCCACAGTTGGTCTGAGTTTACTGGACGTCTTGCGCGTTGATACCATCAGCTTGTTCTTTTTCGCAATTAACTGCCAGTCCCATCTGTTGGCCAACACTATTCTCCTCCGGATTTCAAAGCTGATGGTATTAGTTTTGTTTATGGCGGTACCGAGGTATATAAAATCGTTCACTACCTTGAAGCTGTAGTTTTCAAGTTCCACAGTTGTTCCAAGTCTACTGGACGTCTTGTGCGTTGATACCATCAGCTTGGTCTTCTCGACATTTACTGCCAGTCCCACTTTGGCAGACTCTTTCTCAAATCGTTTAAAGGTGTCGGTTACGGCTCGCAATGTTCGACCCATTATGTCGATATCGTCGGCATAGGCGAGTAACAACCTCGAAGCTGTAGTTTTCACGTTCCACAGTTGGTCTGAGTTTACTGGACGTCTTGCGCGTTGATACCATCAGCTTGTTCTTTTTCGCAATTTACTGCCAGTCCCACTTTGGCAGACTTCTTCTCAATTCATTTAAAGATGGCTGTTACCGCTCCCAATGTTTGACCCATTATGTCGATGTTTGGTATGCAGAGTGCCATTTCTGTTCACATTTGCATCTCCTATGACCTTTTCCATCAGGATGTTGAACAGGTCACACGACAAACCTTGTCACCTTGTCTGAATCCTCGTTCGGTATTGAAGGGCTCCGAGAGGTCCTTTCCTACTTTAACTGCTGACATTTTTGCTGACAAGTTGTTACTACTTTTTGCCAGAAATTATAAAAACTATAACTTAACTAATTCCAAATTTTTTATTTCTCTTTTTCATTGCAGACTTTTTTTGGCTCAAACCACAGACTCCGCGAACTACTTTGATATCAGTTGAATAATAAAAAAGCTAACAAACAACCCAGCAGTAGCGAAAAATAGATAAAAAAGGAAGCAACCTGGGGTGCACCCAACAAGCTTTACAGAGTTGCTCCATAAAAAAAAACTTAAAAAATATTTTGATTCTTGGTACTGCAGTGGTGTGGTAGACCGTATCACTGCGGTAATCCCCAAGCCGGAATTGAAAACCTTTACATAGACGCACACATACACTACAAATATAAAAAAGAAACCGAAACAAACCCTTTAACCAAAAACAAAATATTAAAAGAACTGGCAGCAACGAAGAAGAATAAGTCAAATGAATGAATGAATGTTTAAACAACCTAGCGAACGTCTTTTTTATTTTGGCTCCAAACTATTTTTTTTTGTGAAATATTCAATTCAAAATCATACCAAGATAATATTTCGGCGAAAACAGAAAACCAACAACAGCAGAAAGAAGTACTTAAACCAACATTAAAACCAAAAACATAACCTAAAAGAAGTGGAGAACTGAAAAAGAAGTAGGGCGAAGAGCGAGAGAGCATCAGGGCATATATGAGCCCATTACCCTACTCACAAAACTAGCTTGGCGTTTTCCTTTTGGGGCCCAGCAATAAAAAGAAGTTGTCGTCACGATCCTCGTTGAAAATTATATTTTTTTGGCGACCAAATCAACGGCAACAACAAGACACTTGGCTGTATATGGGTGACAATTTTTTTCGAGACTGGTGGAAAACCCCAAACATCAATTTGCATTGAAGCTGTATTGTGTACCCGCGGGAGTGCAACAAATCTACCTACCATTAAACAACATCTCAAACTTTCTTTGCACAGCATTAGGAGACTTGTCAAATTGAGTGTGGGGCAGCCTGTTCGAATGTTAAACTTTTCTTCTCCCCACTTCACAGAAATAGTGATACAATTGATACTAATTTCTGCTCCATCGTCACCATCATCATTATTTGCGGATCCAAAACAGAAAATAACCAATGTTAACTAGAAAAGGTTTAAAACCTTTTTTGTTTAGAAAACGGCATACAAATTAATGTGACTTTTTGAAGCTGTCATCGTCATCATCACCATTATTTCTTTTTAGTTTGCAAACAAACAAGTATTATTTTGCTTCGAACCCCAACAGAAGTTCATATTCTTAATGTGGTTGCATCACTACCACGACATCAACAACATCACCTGAGTTTATTGGAGGAGTCAACTCGTCCGAACGAAATATAACAAAACAAACAACATTCGAACATATTTCTTTTTTAATTTCAAAATTTCTATCAACGAATCGAAACATAATTTTACATCACAATGGATGTTTTAGACGAAGATCGAAGGCGGAGGTAAGTCAAACATAATTTTATTTTTTTATTCAATAATTTTTCAGGAATTAAGTAGATAACCTTGTCACTAGATCATATGGGATATATGAAGAAATTTTTTTCATGAATATGTTTACAGGATTCCCAACAACAACGCTAAGAAAAAATATATAAAGTCTACAACGAAAAAGAAAAATATTACGGCGAAAGACAGATAACCTCGTCACTAGATCATATGGGATATATGAACAAATTTTTTCGGGTCTACTTTCCAAGAATATGTTTACAGCATTCACAACAATATACAAAGTCTACCACGAATAATAAAAATATTACGGCGAAAAAAAAAACAGATAACCTCGTCACTAGATCATATGGGATATGTGAATAATTTCTTTCAGGATAATCAAGATAGTCTAGCCACTAAACAAAAAAATAATACGAAAATTAACAAGTTTTGTTTTGCAAATGTCGAGGAAAAAATCAGATTTCCTTGTCACTAGATCATATGGGATATGTGAATAATTTCTTTCAGGATAATCAAGATAGTCTAGCCACTAAACAAAAAATAATACGAAAATTAACAAGTTTTGTTTTGCAAATGTCGAGGAAAAAAAAATAGATTTCCTTGTCACTAGATCATATGGGATATACGGAGAAAATCGTTCCAAACTCAAATACCCTTCAGCTAAGCTAGATACGAAATTATCTATATTTTTTCATTTCATTATTAATATACCATCGATAACTGTATAACCTTGCCACCACAGAAATTCTTTCATGTCATCTATAGAAACTCCTTTCAGATCGATTAGAGAAAGATAAATAGATTAAAAGCATTACGGGATTGCTCTAAAAATGCATAAAACTCGAAATTACCTTTAGTTCGACCATAGGGTTTCCTTACAGACCTAATTTTTAAAGACTTCTGTAATCTTGTCTTTAAAATTGTTTTCTCATCGATTTCCCCGACTTTTCCTTCTATTAACATTACCAATGTAATAAACAAATCATTCAAAGAACTGCGCTCAGTCTATAAATAATTACATCAGAACAATACCAGAAAATCACTACGGATATCTCCCATAAAGAGACATAATTTTTGAATATATACTACCATACTTAGCTGGCTTGTGACAAAACTTTCGTTCCATAAACCGAACTTAAAAAAAAATTTCCAGGCGCGTCGGTCATTTGCACAGTTATTCCAATTTAAAAGATCATATTCGGCAATGTTGTCTTCCACTTGATCTTTCCATCTTCCCCTTCTGCGTGCCTTTTGGGCTGGGGCATCATCATCCATTCTCACAACATTACCTAGCCGACGTAATCGCTCCAGCTCAATACGTCTAACAATGCCGATATACGAGAATAGCTGGTACCACTCATGATTCATTTGACGGTAATATTCACCGTCAACGGGGATCGGCCCATAGATCTTTCGGAGACATTTTCTCTTAAACGCTCCAAGAGCTGCCTCATCTGTTTGCGTAAGTACCTATGCTTCAGATCCATATTACAGCACGGGTAGTATCAGCGTCTCGTAGAGTGTGAGTTTGGTCTGGCGGGAGGTGGCCTTGCTTTTGAGTTGCTTAATCAGATCATAGTAGCTCCTGTTTTCCAACACTATTCTCCGAATTTCAAAACTGCTGTCATTAGTTTTATTTATGGCGGTACCAAGGTATATAAAATCTTTGACTATTGTCTATCTTTGACACCATGTCTGAATGCTCGTTCGGTATTAAAGGGCTCCGAAAGTGCCTTTCCGACTTTAACTGCTCATTATGTGCATCCATCCCCTACCTTAAGCCAATCTGTAATATCTGTAGAGGTTATACTGCTTATTGAAAGGTATTTCCATAGCTCTAAATATCGATTCTTATTTGATAATAATCTGTTCTAGTCACTTAATAAATTTAGTCACTCCATAGTTTAGTTACTCCTTTCAGATCGCAAATTAAGGTTTTTTTTTTAGGATTTTATACTAATAGTTCCCGGAGGACTCCTTTAAAAATGGATACAACCTGCATCAAATCTATTAATAGAGTCTATCTCAGAACAGCTGCTCTCTAACCTCATGTTCATTTATGAATACTCCTTGCTACAGCTCTTCCATAGAGACTTTCTTTAGATCTTCAATAAGGACAACCTTTCTAACTTATATATACAAAATTACTCTATTTCAAGTAGCCCATTAAGGTTGACAGTGAGTGATGGCCACCTTCAAGACGTTTTTGTTAACCTTTCTGTGACTTGCAAAAATCCGATTGGACAGCATATGCTACTTCTACCTTCGTTTCCGTTTCCTTCTCGGTCCATAGAGAGTCCCCTTATATCTTTTTCTGTGATTCACTTCTGGTTGTCGATAGATACAACTTTTAGGCCGTCAATAGAATCTTCCTGCTTCATTTCATCTTAGAGACTACATGCTTCAGATAGATTCCAAAGACTCCTTTTGGATGTTCTTGCTTCAGTATGTCTTATTCAAAATTCGTCTGTGAAGACATATTTCAATCCGACATTTGAATTTGCCTTCATTTCATCTACGAACAGCTGCCTTCAGCTCCTACGTAAAGATTTCTTCAGTTGGTCAGTATCGATTTTCTTCAGCTCAACTGAGAAATACCTCTTTCAGTTGTATAAAGACACCCTTCATAGAAACTTCCTGGAAGTGACTTCGGCGATACTTCCAGGAAGTGACTTCGGCGATACTTCCAAGAAGTGGCTTTGGCGATACTCCCAGGAAGTGTCTTCGGCGATACTTTCAAGAAATGAGTACGGCGATGCTTTCAGAAAGTGATATTTACAGGAAGTGACTTCGGCGATACTTCCTGAAGTGACTAAAGCGATACTTCCAGGAAGTTACTATTCGATACTTCTGCGAAACTTCCATCACTACTTGTAAGCCTAACAATAGGCGTAAAATATTCAAAATATTTCATGGAGTCTATCATAAGGGGTGGATTTTTTAAAAATAATTTTTCTAAAGCCGAACAATAGGCGTAGAAATTTTAAAATATTTTTTCAAAGGCGTAGATTCTTAACAATATTTTCGTAGCCATAGGCGTAGATTTTTACAAATATTTTCGTAGCTATAGGCGTAGATTCTTAAAAAAGTTATGGCTTACCTCCTTCAAAAGGGTCCGCATTTCGTTTCATTTTCCTTTTGTTGACTGGTATACGCTTCACTTTGATTTTACTATTCGTAAATATTTTCCAAAACATATTGACAAGGTAAAAAAAATAATTTTTTTTGTGCCGAATTATAAAATTCTAGCGTTTCAAAAAATCACGACAACCGTTTGTCACCAAAAGTTTCACTTTAATAAACATGTTCAACAACACATCGCCAAAGCCATCAGATTGTGAGCGTAAGTTCTGTGAGCTAAAATATTTATTGCCATAAAGAGTAAAAGCAGCTCCTTCATTCTGTTTGGCCATAATGGCAAGGCACAGGCAACAATAACAACAATCCATTGCCGAATCATTTAATATTTCGTGTCAAAATACAACAAATATTACATATTGTTGTTGATGTGGTGGCACTTGTTTGTTGCATTCACAATTGTCTTTTGGAAGTGGTCGATCGTCATCATCATCATCGCAATCGTATGGACCATTCGCCAATGCTCTAGAGCAGCTCACTTGTTCTACACAAGGTCCATGCTTGGTGAAACATTTGGGTGTTAGAATTCAAATTAAAAGCAAATATGAACCCGTCATTACAAGGCATGACAATAGCAACGAGCAGACATTTTGTGTGTTTTTGACAGATACAAAAATCCACCAACAAAAACTCCTAATGTAACTACAATTAATTAGAAGCCTAACGAATACATCAAACAAATAATGATTGATTTTCATTCCTTTTTAATTCATATTGTAGACCATGGCACAAAACATCTAACTATATGTAGCATATAGACATCACTTCTCCCCCTCCCCTTGGTGCACCTCTCCTCATCCTCATCTCTTTGTGAGGTGACAAAAATCAAGACACCAAAAACAAATAAATTAAAAAAAAAATAGTAGCATCGCATACTAAAAAATTTGTTAAAAGGTGTTTGTGTTAACAAATTTATTATAGCAAAATTCGTACAATAACATCGGCATCAAATCTATATAAATATTATGATCTATGCTCGTTGTGTCTAGAACATCATTATATCTATAAACGATGACGATATTCTCACATGAATCAAATACATTATATGTATTGTCCCCCTCCTCTTCTCCACCCTGCAGCTGAAAATCGTTTTGCCAAAAAGTCGTTGCAAAACTTAATGCCTCTCTATCTCTCTCCATCGGTCTTCTAAAAAGCACCCATAAATTTTAAGTGTTGAATTGATTTCAGAATTTGACAGGCGAGGGAACGGCATTTTTCCAGTTTCAGTAATTTTTCAAATTGATGCGATTTATGGTGTATCAAATACATTGCAAAAAATATATTAACGAAGAGGTACATTTATAGAAAATCATCGTCATGGAGCTAAAATTTCCCCAGTTACCAGAAAATATTAATTCCGCGCGTTTGTGTAGGATATCTTGCTAATTAGCTTCGAAATCAACAAAGATATCAATCTGATATCCTTGCCACTAGAAAATATGGTAAGCTGATAACCTTCTCACTAGAACATATGGAATGCCTGAAAGCTGTTTTGCAGGATCTGTAGTCAAAAATCAACAAAGAAAATAAATATTTTCTTAAAATCTGATATTCTTGCCACTAGAACATATGGGATGTATGCAAACTATTTCCTGGATTATTATAAATATTTTTATTTTCTATCTACCACCTATATAGTTACCAAGAAATATTAATTCCGCAAATTTGTGCATATATCCTGACCACTATTATACAAATTTGCTAAGCTTTTACTTCGAAATCAACAAAGATATCAATCTGTTATCCTTGCCACTAGAACATATGGCATATATGGAAGCTGTTTAACATGATCTAAGGAAGGATGTTAAAAAAGTCACACGACAAACTGTTTACTTGTCTGAGTCCTCGGTCGCTA